ATCTTCAGATTTTGGTGGTATCAGAGTGTGATATGATAAGTTCCGAGCCTTGTGCACTTGTGGGACTCGTCTCACGAGTGTACGGCGTCTGTTGCGCCTCGGATTCGGGTTCTGGGGCGTGACAGATTTAGTGGTATCAGAGCTTAGGTTTGATTAAGATTAAGTGGTATCAGAGCTTAGGTTAAATTAGATATTTGGAGATAAAGTGGTATCAGAGCTTAGGTTGAAATTAAGAGCTTGGTTTAAATTAAGAGTTTAGAATTAAATTAAACACCTCCAGATTGAGTGGCATCAGAGCAGATTGAGTGATATCCGAGCCTAGGTTTAATTGAATACCTAGGATTTGTTTTGGACTTGGCTAGCCAGTGGATTGTAGAATCGTGGTGAGATAAGTGATGGGGTTATATAAGGAACGATTCTGATTCGTGTTGCCTGAATATTCTAATCCATTTCGATGAGATGGTAATCTGATTGTTCTTGTTTCTTGCCTTCATACTCTGTGTGAAGTTGTGAAAGTAATCTTACTCGTTATGTCCTGAAGACCTTGTTTTGAAACTTGGTCATTTTCTGATAGTCCGCACTTGTTTAGGCTTGTTACGTGAATAGAAATTTTGTATGCTCTTTTGCCACTATTGTAAAATCTAGCGAGTTGCAGAGATCTTTTGTCAGTGAGATCCTGTTGGTCTCTACCACATAGCTGGTTGAGAATTTGTTCTGTTTGTCACATGACCAGTGGAAGATGGGCAACCCTCTACCTTGTAAGAGATTCAAGGCTATTTTAGCAAATGTTATGTGTTTTTCTAGATGCGTTCTAGGAGCTGGATAACTTGGTAATTCCGTTGCTCCTTATTTTCTGAAAGTGTTATAGTGAAGTTTCACTTTTTCCATTTGGAGTTTCGTGGTCTTTTCATGTGGCTCATTTTTCTGTATTGGTTAATCAAGAGCAGTGATTATTCAATTGAAATTGTTGTCTTTTTATGAAGATTGGCAAGCTATCATAAAGTTAAACTCTCTATTGTTGCCAATCTCTACATTCTTGATATCTGGAAATTGCTTGAAACTCTTGAAATCCATCTTGAATCTTTCTTGATATTGCTTTGTACTTGTTCTTGAAATTGAAATCCAAAGGAAATGGATAATGATTATTGAAATCCTCATTATCTTGATTCTTGTCTGAAATTAATTCTTGCATTGTTCTTGGAATCTAATTTGAATTGTCCTTGAAAACGTTCTTGTTCTGACACTGGTTTTTGTTCAAATTCTGTATACTGCTCTTGCTAAAATCCTGCATGTTCTGTTACCTCTTGTGTCAGTATACCTGATGATCTTCTTGATTCTTGGTTTTTGTTCATATGGACACCTCTTTAGGAGGGGTGACGATTATCAGAAGATACCTATATGAGCTATTCTAAATTCTTGTCTCTTGCAAGTGTTAAATTTTGTATCCTTGATGTCTTAGCTTTGACTTGACTCTAAGATGTCTAGGATGACTTGACTGTAAATCTGCTTAGTCTCCATGAGCTACGAGGTAAAGGGGTAGTCCTTGAAATACTTGATGCCCTAGAGTTTTGTTCCAAGTGAAATGGTTCTTTGAT